AAAATCAAGATACTCATGCAATGGTACAAGGTCCCAGTGATGAATGTAACTGTATTTTATACCTAAAATGTACCAATAAACTTAATGGGGGAAAAAAAAATTTCGTCTTAAAACGCTGAAGTTTCACTAAATTGCCCATGCTGGCTTTGAACTTGCTATCTTCCAGCCTCAGTCTCATGAGTAACTAGGATTATAGGTGTGTGCTGCCACACCTGGCTAAAATGCTCTTCTTGATTTCTGACAACTCATTCTGTCACCAGCAGCCCATGACTGCTCCTACCCAGAAGGGAGGGGAGAGTCGCTCTATGACATACTCTCTTATCATAGGACAATATCTACCACCAGCCTCAGTACTTGGCAGTGCAGACCCTGATGGACAGGCCCCAAGATATCATCCCATCCCTTTGTTAGTCTCAAGCTGTGAACCAGCAACTCAATGATAGTATAGGCCAGGTGTCAGCTGCCTCTAATCCATCCCAATCCATTTGGATGGAAAGGGAACTGAACAAAGTGTCTTGCGGTGGAGGAAACCCCCTCCGTGGTTAGTCTAATTTAAAGCAAATCTGCCAACAAATGTGCTTCTCCTCATACCCCAACCCTAACAGGGTGATGTTCCTTCATCTTCTAGCCTCAGGGTCAAACTCCAAACCACCTCTCCTCAAAGCTGAGGTCTACACTGGTTTGCTGCCTCTAGCTCTAGCGGTTGTGGGTATGTAGGAAAAGGTGAGAACCTCAAGAAGAACTTACATAGAAGTGAAAATGCAAGAAGTGGGCCAGCACTCTGGGGGCCACACCAGGGAAGACAGCCAGGAGAGTCTGGAGGTACACCTCCAGGTCCTTCTCCCTCTTTTCCACCAAGCTTCTTGAGTTTTTCCCGATTATCTTTTTTGGTGGGAGGAGATTTTTATCAATCTTTTTCTCTGCAATAAGCTGTAAGAAAACATGAGCATTATCAACCACAGATCAAGAAGCTCTGTGCTTAGACCAAGGTGAGAGGCTAAGGTCAGGCACTTGTTACAACTTCCATGGCAGTATCAGGATTAGTGACCCAACTAGTGTACCTGGGATAGGCTTCTTCAAATCTAACTAGTATTAGAAATATCAATGCAACACCAGATGAGGAATTTCATCTGGAGACTTTGGAGACCTTCAGAAAAGCAATGCTCTGAGCTCTAAAAAGCTGCTATCCTTCCAAACCAAAATGAAAACCAATCAAGGCAGTGAGAGTATCTTTAAAATACTCTCACTGCCAATGACCCAGAGAAAGGCAGCTCTCTCTGATAGCAAAGGAAGAAATGGAATCACGGCCAGATATTAAAGAACAGGCTCTGGAACAGCTATATTAGGTAGAACGAGTTTGAACTTGTCCCCTCCCTGAGAAACTGTCTCATATACAAACTAGAACTGGCAATCAAAATTCAAAATTCAAATATGAAAATAAAAATTTAAATATGCGCCTTGCAGACAACCCCAAACTGGGGTTAAACTAGGATCTACCAGTTCTTTTTTCAATTACATTACTAAACCGGTTCATTATAGTAAACTACACACATGAAGTTGCTTTTGCCCTAAAACCAATGTGTAGCACAATGGGAACTTGGCCTCAAAGCCCCCAAGCCCTAAGTCACAGGCTCCCAGAGTCTAAGAGTTACCTTTTCATGCAGGTCATGGAAGTCACTGTATCGGTGCTTGACTGTCCACTCATGGCTGCCATCAGTGACCTGGATGATATAAACCTAAAAGGAGGAAATAACATTCTTTGTGGAAAGGGGAGACAGCCAGCAAGCAGAAGTCCCCTGCCTTCATAACAAGCTGCAGGGTATTCAGATCTTTCCCATGGCCAAAGGCAGATGTCCTTACCCATCAGTCTCTGTATCTGACCCCTGCTCAGGACCAGGCCCCGTATCCTCTAAAACCCTAGCACTAGGTCTGGAAGGCACATGGGACAAGCCTGTGAAATGGAAAAGGTCACTCTACCACAACAAGGCACCTCCTTAGGTTTTACCCCCTGCTTCTAGGTAATTTAAAACCCAACTTGAGCTGTAGGTAGGGCCACCCTTCTAAGGCAGAGAACAGGGGCAAGTCAGGCAAGACCAGCTTGTCTGATATATCTCTTTCTAGTCCTTTCAACTGGATGACAGCTGTGACTTCTGCTGCTGAACCAGGAGTCAAAGCACCAAGAACCTGCTGTGGAGGCAGTGATGGGCAATCAGCCCTAACAGGAGGCAATATAATTTAATAGTTAAGACCCGGATTCAAAACCTACTCTGCCATTTCCTGGCTGTGGCTTAAGTAAGTGACTAGGAGCCCAAGGTCTCTCTGAGCCTCGATTTCTCCATCTTAAAATCTGGGAGGTTTCAGGATCAAGGAAGGCAATACATGTAAAATGCTTTGTGCAGGACCTGACACCTAACAAAAGAGAGGTGTGTCGATAACATCTACCTGGCACACCCAGGGACAGATGATGATAAGATCAGCTTGCATCATCACCCTCCCTCCTCACATTGTGTGTGTGTGTGGGGGGGCAGAGCCCCAAACAGGAAGGGCTTTTTGGAGGTGACCCTCCAGCTGACTGCAGCCCCCTGATCGTGGTTTTGTGTTCCTCTCTGCAGCAGGGAAGAGGGAGGAGGAAATAGTGAACAGCTAAAAGCTCAGAGGAGCAGCCATTTCTCCAGGGCCGGCCTGTTGCTCCAGGATCCGCCCCCAGCCTCTCTTCCATCCGGGCAGCTCGGCTCCCTGCCCCCAGAAGAAAAAGAGCCACAGGAATGGACCTCAAGAAGAGGGATTGGGAAGGGGGTCAAGGGGGTGGGGCACACGCAGAGGAAAGACTCCCACCCACCCTCTTGGGAACAAGGACAGGAGATTGGTAGGGGTGCAGTGAGCCCCCACCCCGGAACAAGTTTTTACCAGACAGCACCCCAGAGGCCTGGTATCCAACCCCACCCAGACCCAAGAGGGCCTCAGCCCCATCGTAGTCTGGAAATATTGCCGTTTTCCGTCTTCTCTCTCCTCCACAGCCTAGGAGTTGTGGGGATGACTTGCTAACCCATGAAAGGCACGAATCCCCCTAGATCCGTCCCTCATTTGGCACAGCAGATCTCGACTGTGATCCCGGGCCCCCAGATCACAATCCTGCCTCTTCTCCTTCTTTACGACTTGTGGGACCTTGATTCCTCCCCCATCCCATCTCTCGAGAGGCCCCCTTCCCAGTCCCCTTCCTCCTGGACCCCCTATCAAGTTCTCTCAGGCCCCTGGCCCTCGCAGGCCTGGAGGATCTAGGACTCTGCCTCAGCTAGGCATCCCCCAGCTCAGGCCTCCTTTATCCCCAGATTCCTCCCAACCAAACCTCCTTTCCACCCTCCCAAACCCGCCCCAGAACCCTCCTCCCGGACCTGCGGGATCCTCGCCCTCTCCCCGCCTCCCACCCAAGGCCCGGGTCTTCGCAGTCGCAGATCCCTCCCAGCAAGTCCGGGTTGCCGGACCCAGACCCCTCCCCGACCCGCTAACGGAGACTCTGGGCGCCGGCCTCCACAGGTACCGCGCCCCCAGCACACCGTATACGTGTCTACGAGCTCGGAGCCCACGACGCGCGCCTCCTTGGCCGGCTCTGCCTCGCGCTCCGCCGCCGCAGCCGCCGCCGCCATGTTCCGGCTCCGCGGCTACCGCGGCCCGCCTCAGACTGGCAGCAGCGCGGGGCGGGGTCAGCGTCCCACCGCCCCCCGGCCCCCGCAGCCCCCCGCCCGCGCCGCCATCTTGGCCCCGCCGCCTTCTCAGCCCCCGCCCCGCCCCTCGTGCGTAATTGACAGGTCCTCCGAGGGCGCGCGTGCGCAGCTCCTGTGGCCCGGCTGGATTGCGTAGTTTTGTGTACCTGCGTGCCTCTGCCAGGGAGAAATTTGAGCCACTATCACCCCTCGGACTTCGGGAAGGAAGGATAGAGAGCCCAGACCCCTCAAGCTACCCGAAGCAAGTCACTGCTTCGCCTGGCCTCAGTTTCCCCCCTGTGGAAAAGGGGGCAGTAATGGTGGCATGCCTGGCCGCAGAGTTCACTCCCCGTGTGGAGGAGATTGAGGCAGTGCATGACGCCCTGAGGTCTCCGGTGTCATGCCCAGCTCCTGGAGGACACACTGGGCTGATTCAGACTGCGCTCAGCGCGCGGTGGTGCAGACAGACGGCAGAGAGCAGGCGTGTTTATCAGGGGCCAGGGGAGGCTGCAAGCAGTGGGGGTGTAGGTGGAGGGAAGGGTGTGTGCGCGCGCGGGCCAGTCGGCGCCAGCGCCCTAGAATGACCTGCCGGAGCTCAGACCCACACAAACCCGCGAGAGGCAGGCGGATCTGGACCTGGGAACGACAGTGCTGGCTTGGAAAAATGGCCCTGGCCCCAGAGCAGCCCGAGTCAGTAGCCCACGTGAAGAGTGAGGAGGAGAGAACCTGCCGCGAATGGCTCGCTCTCTTCTAGGCGTGTTTGTTGAAAGCCCTGGGTGTAGCTGACTCAAGCCCAAAGTGAGCATTGCTCTTCCTGGGGAGAGGGAAAAGCTGGGGCCTCGTTCCTCAGGTACCTCTGGCCGAAGAGCTCTAGACCTTGTCCAAAGAGGGAGAGATTCCTCCCTTATCAGTTCCGTATCACTGTACTCTGAGCTTGGCATTCAAGGCTCCTCTAGGCTGTGTCTTATGCTGTCAGTCTTTGCATAGCCACTCCAGAGAGGTTTGCATAACCACTCCAGAGAGGGTACTCTAAGGCTGGCGCTGCCAGCTGAGCCAGAACTTGGGCAAAACCACTACCCTCCCCGAAGCCTCGGTTTCCTTATCAGGAAAGTGTGGGCAGTAGCCCTTGTTTCCTTGACTGGATAGAAGGTTGAGGCACTGTGCATTCCTTTGCAGCTCCTTTCTGGGCTGAGGCTCATGTTTTCATTCACTGAAGAAACTTCCTGAGCGTCCTCAGTGGAGTGTCCCTGGTCCTCGAAGCTCTCATTGCTCCCTGCCCTGGGCAGAGGATTCAGGGATTCAGGCCAGCCAAGGATCACTGACCGGGAGGGGTGGAGGCTGCTTGCTACACGCAGGGTGGGCTGGGCTGGGAATGCAGGAGGCAGGGCTATTTAAACTGAGTCCTGAGGGCTGGCTGACAACCCAGCAGCCTGTCCTGTGAGCCACTGCCATGGATGACATCTACAAGGCCGCGGTAAGGGAAGGGGCTGGGAAGGACTGGGGTAGGCAGGCAAACTTGGAGACCACTTGGCTCAGAATGGCGGGGAGGGGGGGCAAGGTCACCCCAGAGATGTGATGGGGGCCCAAGAGAAGCCCCACATCCGTTCAGCACAGACCCTCAAGCGGACAGTGGAGTTGGCATTTGAGGGTACAGAAGAGGTAGGGGGTTCAGGGTATGGAAGGGGCTGGCACAGGGAATAGGAGGAAGAGACTCAACTCTTAGCCTCCCGTCTTCCCTGTGTTTCTGAGTGGCTGCTTCGTCAGTCTCTCGCCCACATCTCTAATTCCCATCTGTTTGCTGCGTCTTTTGTCTTCCTCAGTCTCTGTGTGCCTCTTTGTTTCTGCTGAGCTCTCTTGGAGTCTCTGTTGCTGTCTCCCTGTCCCCACCTCCCATTTCTACCCCTGACATTCTGTTTCTCCTAGGCCCCCAATCTGCCACCCCCTGCAGCCCCTTAGTTGGCTGAAGATGCTTTGGTGGGCAGGAAGGGGACAGTGAGGAGGGGCTGTGGAACCTGAATCCTGGGCTGGAAAAGGGGCTTTGAAGTTTGGGGCCAGGGAGAGCAGGGGAAGGAGGGGAATGGAGGCCCCAGCCCCCAAGGGCTCTGGCAGGCTCCTGGCTCAGTGCTTGGGAGGCAGTGAGGGTGAGGGAGTAAGGGCTGGAGAGTAGTCACCCAAGTCCCTGCAGCTTCTTGGGGTCGCTGAGGGGCTTCAGATGCTATTCTGTCCTGGGGGGGCAACCCCAGAGACAAGGACATCCTGGCTAGGCTGGCTATCCCCAGAAGAAACCCCCTTATCCCCAGAATGTGGCCCCACTCCCGGGCAGGGAAAAGCTATAGCTGGCTCCGGGGTGCCCCTGCCTATCTTGTAGGAGTCCATGGAGCTGGAGGGGCAGCACTCCACCCAGTGCCCATACAAGGCCTGGTGGGGCTGGGGACTAATTTTGGCTCCTGAGGCAGCACCAGAAGGCCAGGGGGCCAGATAGTGCTGCCCCACCCCCTCCCCGCATGCCAGAGTCCCCAGAACAATCACCAGGTTTAACTTTGTCCCCCGTTAAAAATAGCCTAGTGGCCACACAGGTCAGGTTACAGTGGGTGGCTTTGCTTACCCCCACATTGGTTTGATTGTCCCAACCTGAGGGACAGCTGTCCCTCAAGCCATGCAGCTTGGGTTTCATTAGGGTAGCCGAAAGGGCATGGTGTGGTCACTGAGTATTGTCACTCAGGGTCACCTTGGTCCTGGGGGGTGTCCACCTGTCACCTGACCCTGAGCCCAGCCTCTGTGAGGCCAGCTGGGTTAACTCAGGGCTCTGGGGTAGGGAGGGAAGACGAAGGCCACTGCTTTGTGGCCTAGGCCCTGCTTCCGACTTCCTGCCTGTCGAGTGCTTGGTGCACTCTGAACAGCTGAGCCTGAGTCTGAGCCTGAGACCCTTCCCTCTCTAGGTAGAGCAGCTGACAGAAGAGCAGAAAAATGGTGAGTGCCTCCTGTCTCGTGGGGGGAGGGGACAGTGAGCGAGGCTGGGGAGCAGGGGGCTCCTTCTCACTGTGACCTGGGAGAGGTCTCGGGGCCAGGCGGGATGGCAAATGGCCCAGTGTCCTGGCTGCTGAGCCCTGGCTGCTTTGTGTCTCCCCGCCATGGCCACCACTGGGCAGAATTCAAGGCAGCCTTTGACATCTTTGTGCTGGGCGCCGAGGATGGCTGCATCAGCACCAAGGAGCTGGGCAAGGTGATGAGGATGCTGGGCCAGAACCCCACGCCCGAGGAGCTGCAGGAGATGATCGATGAGGTGGATGAGGATGGTGAGCCCCCACCCGGCTTCCGGAAACACACCTGGGCTCTCCAGGGGTCAGACCCTTGCTCTGTTTAGCCAGGGGCTCTTTCACCTCCCCGAGCCTCCGTCATCTCCTCTACAAAACGGGCACAATGACCACACTGCCTCAGAGACAGAGTCGGCGTGGGGGTGCGGTGAGGACAGGGTGTGTACAGCAGGTGCTGGCCTTAAAACCCCTAGGCAGCGGCACGGTGGACTTTGATGAGTTCCTGGTCATGATGGTTCGGTGCATGAAGGACGACAGCAAAGGGAAATCTGAGGAGGAGCTGTCGGACCTCTTTCGCATGTTTGACAAGTGAGCAGACACTGTGCTTTTGACCTCGACCCAAGCAGAGGTGGGGAGGGAGGGCAGCCCTGACGCCAAGCCCGGAACACGGCAGCCTCAGCCTCCCATCCTATGCCCATTTCCTGGTGCCCTCACCCCACTTGCTGGGCTGGAGGGCTGCCTCCCCGTCCCGGGCTGAGGCCTTCTTGCCCTCCCTGCAGAAATGCTGATGGCTACATCGACCTGGAGGAGCTGAAGATGATGCTGCAGGCTACAGGTGAGACCATCACGGAGGACGATATTGAGGAGCTTATGAAGGATGGCGACAAGAATAACGATGGCCGCATCGACTATGATGGTGAGTGGGTGGCCAGGCCCAGTGCCCTGCTGTCCACACCCGGCCCAGGCCCACCACTGACCCATGCCTGCCCTTTCTCCGCAGAGTTCCTGGAGTTCATGAAGGGTGTGGAATAGACACTGATCTCCCAGAGCTGCCCAGGCCCAGGCTTCCATTCCAGCCAGGCCCAGGGGTGGGTGCAGGGGATGGGGGTCCCCAGGCCCTGAGCCCGGATGTGTCCTTGGTCCCTGACCCTCCTTGGCTCCCTCCCTCACCCCTGTCCTGGGAAGTACAAATAAAGCTGTGCTCCCGGCAGGCCTGGTGTCTGGCTCTGCTGTTTCCTGGGCCTGATTCTTCCCAGAGTCCCCTCTTGCCTGACAACCAGATGCCAGCAGGCTGCCTGCAGAGCGGTGCTCTGACTGCTGCCCACCTACCTTCTGCAGGAGGGCTTCTGGTTGATCCTGGATGCCCTGCTCCATGCCTTCTTGATCCATCGGTGCTGATTCCCAGCCCTGTGTGCAGCGGTCCAGCCTCCAAAGGCCCTGGCAGCCCCGGAATCTGCATTTTAACAAGATTTAGGGGGCATTGCCTTGGCCAGTCAGTTTGGTCGCCTTGAGGTCCTCCGCTTGGAGGGATCAGTTAGCTGCATCCGGGCCTGCATGCCCCTTGGCTAAGCAACCCCAGCAACCCCTCAGCTCTGGTTGAAGTGAAGCTATACCTCATGGGGCCCAGCAGGCCCCTGGCTCTAACCTGTCTGCCCACTCAGCGACATTGACTTCAGGCCCTGGGGGGCACGTGGTCTGCTCGGCATCTCATCACCCTTCACGGATGGGGACCCAGGAGCCACGGTCATCTGCTGCGTCTTCGGGAGAACCCAGCCACCTGACTTCCAGCCCAGGGCCATGTCTTCCGGGCTGGCCTCCAGGGGCCCACCTTCCCTCCCTGACAGGAAGTGGGGGCCTAAGGCTTGGTGGCTCCCACCTTAGTAGGGGTCCCCAGGCCAGAGTTGCAGCCGTAACAGTGGCCTGGCCTTGGGGAGGTGACTTGGGGTTGTGAGGAAGTGGAGGTGTCAGCAGTGGCACTGGTAGGAGGGACAGCTGCTCTTGGCAACCAGGCCCAACCAGAATGCCAACAGCTGTCCCTGCTCCGCCCAGCCACCCCACAGTCTCTGCACCTGTGTCCCAGCCTAGGCATTCTCCAGACAGGCCGGGCATTCCAGAGACAGTCTTGGAATTCTAGAGATGCCTCTGGTAGAGGCCAGAGCTGGCAGGAGCTGCCTGCTCCCTGCAGAGACCTGGGAGGAGTGGAGAGGATCCCCTCAGGCCTGCCCTCAGGAGCTGGAGAACCCAGGGACTATGCAGTCACCCAGAGAGACCCAGGAAGGATGACGCTCCAGGAGATAAAGAAGGGCCACAGCGGACAGCCCAGCCTACCAGTAGATCATCCAATGGTTACTCAGCACGTGCCAGCCTGAGGCTGGTTGCTGGGACATCAGAGCAAGGCCTAGTCCGGAAGCTCCTGGAATTTCTAGTCAACTTGAGGATGCAGAGGGAGATGCGTGCACAGGGCTAGAATGGCATGGTGGGCTGATGAGAGAAGGTGGTCCAGGAAGGCTTCCTGGAGGAGGTGACACTGAGCAAGGGATAAAGAACCGCAGGGTACCAGCCATAGGGAAGATTCAGAGGGCCTCAGGAGCAGGAAGGCAGTGGTGGGCTGGCAGGCAAGCTTCAGCAGCCTTGGGGAGGAAGTTTTTGGTTGGATTCTCCCGACAAACACAGCTCGTGTGAGGGGTGAGGTGCTCTTGGGGCTGCAGAAGGGTGAAAGGGTTGTGGGGGAGCCAGGAGGCCCACCTGAGGCTGAGGTGGGTTCCAGGTGAGAAGGCCTGAAGGTTCCTGGCAGAGTAGGGTGCTGGGTAGAAAAGAGGATGGGGTAGTGGATTCAAGGCGTAGTTTGGAACTAGAATAGACAAAATTTGAAGGATTGCATGTGAGAGGTGAGAAACTAGGGAATCAAGGATGGCCCTTAGATTTTTGGTCAGACTCCAATTTCCTGACAGTTGGAAGCTTGGAGAGGGTTCAGGCCAAGGGTACTGGGGAGTGGAGGTTATTTTGTATTGTTTTGGTTTTTGTTTTCATTTTGAAATTCCAAACTTGTAAGAATGTTACAGACGTATACAAAGAGCTCCCATTTATCTTTCAGCCTATTTACCCAAACTTTAACTCTTGAATAATCACAAGACAATGACCAAACCCAGGAAACTAACATGGACACAACACTTCTAACTCACCTGCTGACTTACTGAAAATTTGTCAGTTGCCCTATTAATGTCCTTTCCCTGGATCAGCCAATCAAAGAGCTAATGTGATCCACCTCTCCTGTCTCCTTTGTCAGTCTTTCTTGGTCCTTTAAGACCTTGACACTTTTGAAGGGTACAGGCCAGTTATTTTGTTATTTCATTGTGAATGTTTCCTCCTCAGGATTGGGTCCAGAGGAGGCATTTTCCCCCCCTTCCAGAACTGGGGATTGAACCCAGGGCCTTTACAATGAACTACATTCTCAGTCCTTTTTGAATCAGGGTCTCACTAATTTGCTAAATTACCCAGGTTGGGCTCAAAATTGGGATCCTCCTGCCTCAGCCTTCCAGAGTGTTGGAATTATAGGTGTGCACACCCCACCCCCCACGCCCCCACCTGGCTCAAGTGAGGCTTTTTTTTTTTTGGTACCGGGGCTCCAACTAAGGACCTTGCACTTGCAAGGCAGGCTAGGTGCCACTGAGCTAAATCCCCCACCCAAGTGAGGCATTTTTGATGGGTTGATCACAAGACAAACGGAGACTTTTGTCCATATCAAATTTGAGGTGCTTTGGTATGGACTGGTTGGAAGGCCACAGCCAGGTCAGAGGGAGGGCAGGGGCAGAGCTGCAGCTATGAATGTAGGTGTCATCAGTGTGGAAGCCCTTTCCCAGCTTTGGTTGAAAATGAGGGCCTTGGGGAGAGCTTGTAGAGAGGGGGAGAGGGCCAGGTGCCAGGCACTCTGCGTGGGCAGCTGGGAAGGACACGGCCAGTGGGTGAGGGGACTGGGATAGAGCAGGGAAACATGAAGGCATGGGTGGCAGCTGGAGGCCCTCAGGCTTGGGGGACCTGATTAGGGGTTTTGGTGAGCATGGGGAGTGAGCTGGGTCCAGGGCAGATGGCGAGTGTGGACCGAGCCCAGGGGCTGGATGCCTGGGCTGGGGCAGCGTTTGAGAGGAGGGGTAGGGAATGGCTTGTGTGCTCTGTGGGCAAGCCCTGAAGCAGGACGGGGGCGATGCAGGTGCAGGGCAGAGGTGCCAGGGCTGTGTGCCTTCAGAATCACTTGTCAGGACCTGCTCACTGCGATGACGGGCTCTGTGTCTGAGTTGGGCAGGAGGGAGCAGGGCTCCAGGCAGAGGATCAGGCGGACAGGTCACAGAGGCGGTGGGGGAACTGAGGTGCAGATGGTGGTGTCCAAGGGAAGCGATGTTCCAAAGGGCCGTGCAGAAGGTCGTGTCACTTTTGGTGGCCATTGGAAGGGTGAGTGGCTGAGGAGGTGAGTGGTCGTAAGCAGGAGAAGGACTCCAGAGGCTGGGGCAGCTGGGGTGGCACCAAGGGGGTGTTGATGGGATTGCGGAGAGAAGAGGCAATCCCTCCATGATGGACAGAGGAGGATGCCTGGGCTTACCAGAGCCACAGCCTCTCTGGCTAGCACTGGCCCTTAAAAAGCTATGTGTGCCCATGTCAAGGAGAGGTGGCCCCACCGCCTCCTGGGTCTCCCTTCATCTGCTCCCTGGGAGAGGCACAAGTCCTGGTGGAGACGGGAGAGAAGATGGTCCTACCTGCAGTGGGCACTCCAGGGGACACAAGGAAGGATTTGGGTGGGGACGGGTGGCTGGGAGGCTCACCTCTGGGCGGGGCTGTGGGATTGTCTGCCCATCTCTGCTCCACCATGAGATTGGTAGGGAAGGGGCCAGGAGCATCCATTCTTCCAGGTATGCCCGCCCCAGAATTCCGCCTGGGTGTGGCTGGGCTGCCATCTTCCACAACCCACCTGGTGGCACCCGCTGCATGAACATACACGTCACACACACACATTGGCCCAGGGCTCACAACTTCTAATCCGCTCATGGAGTGCTGTCTCCTGCACACACACTTATCTCTGTCCACTTTGCTGGGCCTTCTCTCCACTTCTGAGCTGTGCATCCTTTGCGGGGGTAATGCTTCCTCCCTCCATGAAGGCTCCCTTGATTTCTCCACTGCCTAGTTACTGCCTGCCTCCCTAAGAACCCAAGGTTTCCACGAGGTGGTCCTGCTGCCCACTGGGAGCCTGACACAAAGTGCAGCTTTAGAAATCCTGGCAGTTCCATCTCTTTCCACTAGATGGCACCTGATACCTGTGGGTGGGGCCACTGATCCAGGAATTGGGCCCACCAGGTCTGCTTCCCCCCCTGCAGCCGGCCGGCAGGGCCTTCAGCAAATTCTATCCCCTCTCTAAACTGGGAAACTGAGGTCTGGAGACGGGGAGCACCTGAGCAAGACCAGGCAAATCAGCAGTTTGGCGTCCCAGCCCCTGTGATGGGCTCTTTCCACAGTATGGAGTGAGCTAGCCTCGCACCCTGCCCCAGTAGCACAGGCCTCCGGCAGCCTCAGCTGGGGGCTCTCGGGCAGGCTGAGGAATGCTTGGGTCTCCTGCTCACAGATGGTGACCAGATGATGGCTAACAGGCTCTTGGCCGGATCTCCAGCGAGATGTTGGCCTGCAGCCTGGGCGCTGTCAGAGCGTCTCCAGGGAAGTGGAGGCAGAGGGGCTCCACCCTCTGAAGTCCAGGGTGACATCACTCCATAGCAGCCCCTCCATCGGCACCGCGCACAATTTATAAGCCCTGTTATACCCAGATCAGCCCAGTGGCAGGGCCAGGCTGAGTGGTCATAGTTTCTGGGCAGCTTCAAGTCACGTGAGACGAATTTGTGCACCCCTAGTCCAAGGGCCAGGCTGTTTCCCTGCCGGGGCTGAGTTGGGGAGCGTAGGTGGGGTTCCAGGAGCCCCAGAAGCAAAGAGGGTCCCAGGAAGGGGCAGGGCTGAGCTGGCCCTGTTCACAGCCTGTGTATGACTTGGTCTAGGACCTTCCTTCTCTGAGTTTCCTGACCACCTAAGGACGAAGGCCATTCCATCTGTGACGCCCAACCCGCAGGACGTTCCAGACTCCAGGGAGCTTCAACTTCAGCTCAAGCTTAAAATCTTAGTGCCCAAGGCCTGAGGTTCTGCGTGTAGGGGTCTGGGGTGGGATGAAATGGGAGCTGGGTGGGGGGCAGGGCCAGAAGTTGCTCTCAGAGGCAGAGTTACCCCCTTGCCCCAGATTCATCCCCCAGTCTCATCTCCCCAACCCTGTTCCCTCCCCTCACCCCCTGCCCAATCAGAGTGGAGCCTGAGGATCACGGCATATAGGGCCTGTGGGACTCTGGGCCCTGGGTCGCTAAAGAACTGGGGGTTCTGCCTGGGCATGGAATGGGCCCTGGCCCCCACCCTGAAGCAAGCCCTGTGAGCTGAGATGGGAGCTGGAGGATTTGAGGAGGGGCTGTGGAGCCCTTGGGACCTGGGCCCAGGGTTAGCTTGTGGGGGTCTCTGCATATGGGTACTGAAGAGGCAGGGAGCAAAGTGGACCCTAGCCCAACCCCCAGGCAGCCTTTCAAACTCTGACCTCTGATCTCTGACCTCTCCTTTGGGGTGTCTTTCCCGTTGTCACTTTGCCGGAGGCCTGGGGACCTATGTGTGTGAACATCTTTCTGTGCAGGCTGTCTACACCTCAGCTGTGAAAGTTCCCCCCCCAACCCGGTGCTGGCCAGCTGAGGTGGAGGGTGGAGGGAGAGCGACAGGTGGACCAGAGTTCTTCCCGCCTCCCCTCCTCCTCCCCGCCTTCCGGCCCTGGGCTGGGTGGAGCTGCTGCCTTATAAGTGGCTGGCCTGGTGGCAACGGCACAAACTGCAGCCAGCAGCAGGACCCGAGGGCGTCCCGTTCCCCAGCATGGGCCCCCTGGCCTGGGCTATCTGCTGCCTCGTGGGGGGCCTCCTACTCCTAGAGGGCAGTGCCAGCGTGCCCCGCCTGCGGCTCTCCTACCGAGGTACTGGGCAGCGCTGCCCTCTTCTCGTGCATGTCGGATGAGTGCCCTGGGCTCCAGGATAGCCCCAGCCAGCCCCGGAAGGGGATGCCCGGGCCCTGCGCAGCCCTTCTTGGCAAAGGCTTCCAGGATGGTGCTGGGGATGACCCAGGGAGGGGCCGGAGGGAGGCAGGTCCTGGGATGCACAGAAGGCCAGGGGGCACCCTGAGGGGAGAGGGAGATGTGCCGACTGGGAGCCCTGGGCAGAGGGACTGCTCAGGGAAGAGGGCCAGAGGGGGCAGGTCTGGAGGGTCAGTGGACAGCAGGGAGGGAGCAGTAGCCTGTCCCACAGGGAGGTCATCTCTCCACGCAGGAGCCCAGGGGGCAGTTCCTCCTTCCTCTGCCACCCTGCCATGGGGCAGGAGCTTCCTCGGTTCTCACCCAGCTGTGGGGTGCTGCAGCTGGCTCAGCCTCCTCTGAATGTCCCTGAGACACAGGCTTGTGGCAGGTTGGGAAAGCAGTGGTAGTCATTTTCTCTTAGAAAGAACCTTGGTCAGAGGCCAGAGATACAAGGCTGCCATGGAGCTCGGAGGGGACACATCGCTCTGCCCTGGGGAGTCAGGGAAAAGCAGTCCTGCAGTGGCAGCTGTGGTTTAGTGGGCAGGTCAGGCTACTGGAAAAGTCCCCCAAGCTGGCTGACGTGGTGCACTCCTATAGTCCCAGCACTCTGGGAGGAGGAGGCAGGAGGATTGCAAATCAGAGTCCACCCTGGGCAACTTAGTGGCTGAACAAGACCCTGTCTCAAAAATAAGAAATAAAAAATGATGGAGGGTGTAGCTCAGTGTGAAAACCCTGGGTTCAGTCCCTAATATCACACACACAGCCCCCAATAGGGAAAGCTCCCTAAGGTGGAGACAACATGGAAGGCTTCCTGGAGGAACCATTGATGGGTGTGGGGTCTGGGCGCGGGTGCTCCTATGGGGAAAGGTGTGTGGTATTCTGGGCCTTCTCAAGGGTGGCCTATGCCCCTTTCTCAGCCCACCCCACTGCCAGCCCCTGCTGGCACCTCACCTCCACCTTTCGAGCCAAGCCCTATGCCAGGGTCCTAACTCCTGGGTCCCCTGCTCTCAGACAGCTCCCCTCCACCTCTGGAGCCCAGACAGGCAGCATCCACAGGGAGAAAATCCTTTCTGATCAGAACCCTGAGCTGCAGGCTGGAACTCTGCCCAGCCATACCTGGCCTACCCCAGGCCTAGGTCCTTGTGGTGTCCCTGTTCTGGGGGTGCACTCTCCTGCCTGTCCATCTCTGCCACAGAGCCAGCCTTGCTCGCTGCTCGGGCTCGCCTGCCCTTCCTCCCCCCCCCCCACCCAGCTTGCTGGCCTAGTTTCTGTCAGTGGGGCCATCTTCTGGGGCCTGGGCAGGCACAGGTAGGGCAGTGGGAAGGTGTCAGCCAAACGATCTAGGGGCTGAAGAATGAAGGAGTGAGCGGCAAGTGCCTGGGTCAAGGGATTGGGGGGAGGCTCAGAGCTCCTGTCCCACCTGCCCCCAGGAGCCATGTGCCAGTTGCTGTCCAGCAGCCCGTGGACGGAAACATTTTCCCATGTGTGCGTGCGCGCATGTGCGTGTGTGTATAAATGCACAGCCAGGACCCACCTCTTCCACCCCTTGGCTGGGGAAGTAGGCTGATCCACCACCCTCTGCTCCTTCCTAGACCTTCTGTCTGCCAATCGTTCTGCCATCTTTCTGGGCTCCCAAGGTTCCCTGGACCTCCAGGCCATGTACCTGGATGAGGACCGGGACCGCCTCTTTCTGGGGGGCCGGGATGCCCTCTACTCTCTGCGGCTTGACCAGGCATGGCCAGATCCCCGGGAGGTGAGCTGGACAGATGGGGGAGCGGTGGGGAAACGGAGGGTTCGAGGTCAGGGGAGTACCTGAGGTCACCAGGCTGTGTTTCAGGTCCTGTGGCCACCGCAGCCAGGACAGAGGGAGGAATGCATTCGAAAGGGAAGAGATCCTTCGGTGAGTGCTATGGGCAGTGTCTGTTCCCCACCTCAGCAGCCCTAGGCCCTCACCCCACGGTACTCTGCAGGGGCTCCCACAGGTCATCTGAGGGCATTTGGAGCAGGGCCTGAGGCTTTGGGAGGTCTGTGAAGAATGTCACTCCTACCCACTTCCCGGAGCTGATCAGCCAGGCAGGGCTGAGACTCCGCCAGGAGATGGTGAGCTCCGCCTCACCCCCCGGAATGCCATCCTCCCGCCTCTCTGCTAGACCGAGTGTGCCAACTTTGTGCGGGTGCTGCAGACCTACAACCGGACCCACCTGCTGGCATGTGGCACTGGGGCCTTCCAGCCCATCTGCGCCCTCATCACAGTGGGGCACCGTGGGGAGGTAGGTGAGCCGCGGCCAGCCCCCGACATTTCCTCCCTGCTGCCTGAACGGTTCCCATGGAGCTGGGTGGGACAGAGGCAGCGCAGGCCTGAAAGGCGCCTTTGTTCCAGGGTGCTGACCCCATTTGAGAGGCCCAGGAGGAGGGCGCCTCCGAGCACCCCCACTCTCCAGCCGCACGCACGCACCCACGCACGCCACGCGAGGGCTGCTGCCTGGGTGGGAGGCTGGAGCTGCTTCCCCAGGTGACGCCCTGTCCCGCCCCCAGCACGTGCTCTACCTGGAGCCCCACACGGTGGAAAGTGGACGGGGACGGTGCCCGCACGAGCCCAGCCGAACCTTCGCCAGCACCTTTGTAGGTGGGTGATGCCAGGCTGAAGTGGGCACAGCGAGGGTGGGAAGCCCGGCCCGGCCCGGTCTGCTGACTCCGCCCCCTCCCAACCCCAGGTGGGGAGCTGTACACAGGCCTCACTGCCGACTTCTTGGGGCGGGAGGCCATGATCTTCCGAAGTGGGGCTCCCCGGCCAGCCCTGCGTTCGGACTCCGACCAGAGTCTCCTGCATGGTGAGGCGAGGCTGGCTGGGGCTTGCCTCCTCCCCTGAAAGAGAGGGGATGCTGGGGCGGGGAGGGGAGGGGAGGCTGCCTGCACTGGGGTCCCCGTGCTGCCTCCCCTCCCTTCTGGGTTCAGCCCCTCTCCCCGGCCTTCCCCTGTCACTCTTCCAGATCCTCGGTTTGTCATGGCTGCACGGATCCCTGACAACCCTGACCAGGACAACGACAAGGTGTACTTCTTTTTCTCCGAGACTGTCCCATCGCCTGATGGTGGCCCGGGCCACGTCACCGTCAGCCGTGTGGGTCGAGTCTGTGTGGTGAGAGCTGCAAAGGGGTGGTGAGGTTCACCACCCTGCTTCAGGCCCTTCCCAGACTGTACCCCGCAGGGAAACCGAGGCAAAGCTGTCATTCACACCTCCCCACAGGGGCCAGGGTGGAGGAGGGGAGGTAGGGCCCTCCTGTGGACCCCGTGGCTGACTCTGCCCCCCACCCCAGAATGATGCTGGCGGCCAGCGGGTGCTGGTGAACAAATGGAGCACCTTCCTCAAGGCCAGGCTGGTCTGCTCTGTGCCCGGGCCTGGAGGTGCCGAGACCCACTTTGACCAGCTCGGTAAGGGCACGGCGGGCAGGCCTGTGTGCTGGGAGCGGGAGGGCTCAGAGCTGGTGCGGGCATCCTGGCAGTGACCGTGATCCTGCGCCCTTCTGTGTGCCAGAGGATGTGTTCCTGCTGTGGCCCAAGGCGAGGAAGAACGTTGAGGTGTACGCACTCTTCAGCACTGTCAGGTGGGCGCACTTGGCCCCCCTGTACCCCAGCATCACTGGCCCCACCTCGGGACTTCTGGTCCCTCTGGTGAGCCTCTGCCCTCATGTCTCATCCTTGCTGTGGTTCCTTTTCCTTGTCCCTGAACCAGGGTTCTGTTGCTGTGTTCTCTGTCTCCCTCTCTTTGCCTCTGCCTCGGTGTCCTTGCTTTCCAGTCTTGCTTACAGCACGCACTGTCACCTCTATCCTCCCTTCCTGCTTGTGACAGTGGCCCCGGCCTGACTGTCCCTGCTCTTGGCAGTGCTGTCTTCCAGGGCTTCGCCGTCTGTGTGTACCACATGGCGGACATCTGGGAGGTTTTCAATGGGCCTTTTGCCCACCGAGATGGTCCTCAGCACCAGTGGGGGCCCTATGGGGGCAAGGTGCCCTTCCCCCGGCCCGGCGTGGTGAGTATCCAATTGGTAGGGGGCTTGAGCCGCTGTCAGGAGGGGCTCAGGAGGGGCTCATCCTTGGAAAGCCCTGCGGCAGGGATGGCCGGGGCTCTGGAGGGCCTGGTGGGGTGGAGTATACTGGGAGATGGGAGAGGCTGGGGGCCATGGCGTGCCAGGTGCTTCAGGTGCTCTCTCTGCTGCTGCCTGCAGTGCCCCAGCAAAATGACTGCAAAGCCAGGACGACCTTTGGGCAGCACCAAGGACTACCCAGACGAGGCGCTGCAGTTTGTCAGAGCCCACCCGCTCATGTTCCAGCCTGTGCGGCCATGGCATGGCCGGCCTGTCCTCATCAAAACTAACCTGGCCCAGCTGCTGCGGCAGATCGTGGTGGACCGCGTAGAGGCGGAGGACGGGACCTACGATGTCATTTTCCTGGGGACTGGTAGGCCGGCTGAGGGCAGGTGGCTCAGATGGGGAGGTATGTGGGCTCCCCTGCCTGCCCTACTGACCTCTCCACTGCTGCCCCAGACTCAGGCTCTGTGCTCAAGGTCATGGCTCTGCAGGCAGCAGGCTCAGCTGAGCCTGAGGAGGTCCTTCTGGAAGAGCTCCAGGTGTTTAAGGTGAGTAGGGGCTGACAGGAGGGCCTCCATCCCTTCCCTGGGGTTGAGGCTGGCCCCAGGGAAGCCCGAGCAAGCCTGGGAGGGCTGAAAGCACTGGTACATGCTGCTGCAGAGGTCTCACTGATGCTTCCAAATGACTGAGGGGCCCAGAGCCACAGCCTGTGGGCCAAGAGTAGCTCCCTGGGAGGGATGACCAAGGTGAGCACCTTGGCGGAGCCCTGCAGGACTGGCTCACAGTGAGGAGGTAGCTGAGATCCCCAAGTCCTCAAGGGTTCTGCTGCCCTAGTCAGGCAGTGGGCCATCTGTGTTTGGGGCACTGTTGGCCCTACTGGACCGAGATGGGTGATTTGGGACAGCACCTCCTTTCCGGGGAACAGGGCTGTGGGAGGGGACACTGGAGTTCTGTGCTTTGCGCTAAGCCTCCGGCTTGGAGGCCAGCCAGGAAGAGGGGACTTTTTTGTAACCTGATGTCTAAGAAAGACTAGCCAGGCTTAGTTGGGAAAAGGCGCATGGAGCAGGCTGGGAGATAGTCAGTTCCCAGCCAGGGCTTGGAGAAGGCGGAAAGCAGTGACGCAGGGGAGGGGCTTCTCCTATACCACCCACCCTGAGAGCCTACTCCTCCCCAGGTGCCAACGCCCATCACTGAGATGGAGATCTCTGTCAAAAGGGTAAGAGCAGCTGCCCCTTCCCACACGCCCCGCCCCGTCCACAGCCGCCTTGAGCACTGCTACAGTGTGCTGGAGAGCTGCTCTGGGCAGCCGGGTTAGGTCTTGTAGTGAGGCCCTGACCACCTGGAAGCTGGGCTTCACATGCATGAAACAGTGGGGAGTGGGCGGCACGGAGTAAACAAAACAAGGACAGAGCCACAAAGGCCAGTTCTTGAGGGAGGCGAAATGTGCTTGGGAGCAGAATCTAGATTTTCGATCAAAGAAGGGGGCCATTTTTATAAGTGTCCTGTGTGTCATTTTGCAAATTGCAAATACCCTACCCGTCGCAGTTGGTAAATCCCAACTTTTGTACTGGGATTGCTTAAAATAAGGTACACCTCTAAAATTAGAGGCCAGGCCAGTAAAGGCCTTTGGGGTAGAGGGCATAGGCCAGCAGCAGGGAGGCCTGGAGAAGTCCCTTAGACAAGACCCCGGCACACCCTAACCCTTCCACATCCGTCCACAGAAATCTGGTGTATGGTGGGCGGTGATAAACATCTCTGTTTTTGTGAATGAATCCAAGAGGTTCTGGAAGACTCCTGAAGTGGCAGAGGTCTCAGGAAACCCATGGAGTGTGAGTGCTCCTCGGTGGAGGCCAGACTTCCTATGGGCTCTGTTTGTGTTCCTCCCCAGCAAATGCTGTATGTGGGTTCTCAGCTGGGTGTGGCCCAGCTGCGGCTGCACCAGTGTGAGACCTATGGCAGAGCCTGTGCAGAGTGCTGCCTGGCTCGGGACCCCTACTGTGCCTGGGATGGTGCCTCCTGCACCCGCTACCGCCCCAGCCTGGGCAAGCGCCGGTTCCGCCGGCAGGACATCCGGCATGGCAACCCTGCTGTACAGTGCCTGGGCCAGAGCCAGGATGGTGAGTGGGGCCCTGCTCGACCTGTGGCCTGGGCACCCTCCCTGTGGAGAACTGCCTCCGGCTGATCCTGGAGTAACAGTCCTCTGTTTCTCTAGCTGTGCAACTGCAGTCAGTGCATGTGCGGGGTCTTGGGACACAGTGACGGGCTCGGGGATGGACAGATACCCAAGTCCTCGCCGCACTAGTGGGTTGTGGGAGTCAGTTGGTGGCCCTGGGGTCCTGGATCCCAGAGTTCCCAAGTGAGCCAACCTGGGCCTCTCCGCAGAGAAGGCTTCAGGACTGGCGGCCACCAGGGTCTATGGCACGGAGCACAACAGCACCTTCCTGGAGTGCCTGCCCAAGTCTCCCCAGGCTGCCGTGCGCTGGTTCTTGCAGAGGGCAGAGGACGAGGGGCCTGACCAGGTAAGGAAGGATCCTATTCCAACCCCACCCCCCACCCCAAACCCCAATCCCTCAGCCCAAGGAAGGGGATCTGGGGGAAGGAAATCTGTTAAGGTCAATCCAAGAAAAGTGTGTATTAGGCTCCTGGGGTGCCTAGGTCCCTATTTCTGCCTCTGAGTATCCCCAGGCCCGAGGTGGCTGGAACTCTCCCAGGCCAAGAGGTGGGTAAGACAGATGAAAGAGAAGGAAGGGGACCTGTGACAGTCCAGAAATCCCCCGTGCCTGCACTCGAGGCTCAGCTTGGAGGAGTCTCTTCCCCAGGGGTTCTTGGTCCTCTGCTGCCTCAGGCCTCAGTCCTTGATCACTGGCTTTTGCCCCACCTCCATACTTCCTGGCTCCACACTTCCTCCTTGGAGACCAGCTATCTGCCCCAGCCCTGTCCTCCCCATCCAGAAGAATCTGTCTCCCCCCTCAGCCCCCAGATGGCTTCAGTCTCGGGCCTGGGGCTAGGCGTGGGCCGGGCAGGGTGAGAAGCCATTTTTCCACAGGAAAAAGGAGGGGAGAAGGGGGTGTTGATTACAGAAGGGGCTCTCCCTGCAGCTTGGAAACTGGGGGAGGCCCCCTTGGGCCAGCTGTTGGGTTGGGCACTGAGGAGACTCCCTGGGGTAGGAGGGAGTAACTGGGTGCAGTTGTGCAACACCAACCACCCAAGCAGTCTCTCCTCAGCACGCGGAGGCAAACTAAAGCTCAGACAGGGCTCAGAGACGTGGGCTGGGATGAGAGCCACACTCCCACCTCCTACACTGATGTGGGCACTTAGCCTACCCAGGCTGGGGTGTCAGGCTCACACTATGGGGAGTGAACAGGCCAGATCAAGACAGGGAAGCCCGCCTGGTGTGTGTCAGTGGAAAGCCTGCCGATGTCCTCGTGACCCCTCTGCTCCCGGGGTATGTGTGCAAGGGCCCTCTGAAGGGCTCTTGAAGATTTGTCCCCCAGGGCTCTGACTAGGGAAGGCACTAGTCATTTAAAGTTTTGAAAAGCCTTTGCAGCCCCTTTCCTGGGTTATGGAAGGTGAAGTCCTGCCTACAATTAGCTTGCCATCAGAGTCTGGGCCTACCAAGCTGCTGGTGCCCCTGGGAAGAGGAGGACGGGCACTGAGTCCCGAGGATAGCAAGCTTGGAAAACAAGAGGGCAAAGAAGCTGATGGCACAGGTCCTGGCCCTCCTCATATCCCCTCTGCCTTCCGCCCACTTGTCAGGTGAAGACAGATGAGCGAGTCCTGCAAATAGAGCAGGGGCTGCTGTTCCGCAGACTCAGCCGCCTTGATGCCGGTACCTATACCTGCACGACGCTGGAGCATGGCTTCTCCCAGACTGTGGTCCGTCTGGCTCTGGAGGTGATTGTGGCAGCACAGTTGGACAGCCTGTACCCTGGAGGGCCGAGGCTGGAGGAGCCCCCCACCCGGGGAGGTCTGGCCTCTGCCCTACCCAAGGCGTGGTATAAAGACATCCTGCAGCTCACTGGCTTTGCCCACCTGCCCCAGGTGGATGAGTACTGTGAGCGTGTGTGGTGCAGAGGCATTGGGGAGCATTCAGGCTCTTTCCGAAGCCAGGGAAAGCAGGCCAAGGGCAAAAACTGGGCAGGACTGCTACTGGGCAAGAAAGTAAAGAGTCGGGGCCAGGCCGAGCGCAACCGGACGCCTCGGGAGGTGGAGGCCACATAGAAGAAGGCCAGTGAGGTGGTGTCAGGATGGGCTGGAAACCTGGCAGCAACTTCCAGCATCTTCTGCCCACCCAGCCAGGACCAAGGGGGCCAGGATGCCTGATTGCCTTTTAGGGACTCACAGGAAAGACTGGTGGCCTGAGGGGAGGGCCCTGTGCCTGAGGCCTGTTCCCTGCCCCTCTCTGTGTTCTCAGTCTCGGACTGAAACTGGTACTCTCTGGCCCTGGCAGCCCCAAGGGACCTGCCATTTGTTCTCAGAGATGGCCTGGCTTCCGGAGCACATTTCCGGTTTTGCCCAAGGCAAGAGGGTTGGGTGGTTCTTTCCCAGCCTTCAGAACAATGGCCATTCTAAGTGACCCTCAGAGTGGGTATGGGGGTAGCTCTAAGAAAATATCTGGGCAAGGGTCCTCAGGCAGCCCAAGGAATGTAGAAGTGGCCTCTTAAGGTAGTACCTATTAGGAAGGGAGCTGGGGAGGAAAAGCAGAGGTATTCAGAAGGTAGAGAGGTGCCACCCCGCCCCTCCCTTTCACCATGATGTGCTGGTGGTTCCCTGACAAGGCCTATCACCTCTTCTGCATCTCAGAACTACAGAGGCGTTGGCTGCTGGTTATCTGGGAGTGGTCTGGGCCTCAGGTCCCACTTTATAACGAGGGCAAGAAGTCTCACAGCCTGACCTCCCTTCCTCAGGCCCCAAACTGTCAGGCCAGGTTTGCTGTATGCTCACACCCCTTGACAGATCCACTTTCCCCATTACCATTAGGTTTCCATACCGAGAAGCAGGGAGAGAGATAGGATCTAGGGCAGTGATGGCGAACCTTTTAGAGCTGTCAATGCTAACAAACAACCCACTGCAGCACGGGTGCCATAGGTTCGCCACCACTGATCTAGGGAATGTCAGCCCTCATCTCTGTGGATTAGAGATGGGAGAGGGGAGCTGGAGAGAGGGTTGGGAGGAGTGGGCTGTCTTTCCAGGGTGGTGCAGGCACACCCCAGACCTAGGAGAGTAAGAATTTGGAGGCTCTGTGAGCTGCAACTGGTGATCAGGACTGGAGCCAGGACTTTTTCCAGGACCACAGAGAATTCAGAAGCTGTGGACATGGAGGGAGGGTGGAAGTCCCTCAGGATGGGCTATGAACCCAGGAGCAAGTGTCCTCAAGAACTCAAGATGACATTAATTAGTTCAGAAGCCACTGGGAGGGCCAGATGTTCCCTGGAGTCTGTATTTTCTGCTAAATAAGGATTGGGCATGGATAGTTCATTTTAAAGGGTTGTCTTCCTCCCTCCCTCCCTCCCTCCCTTCCTTCCTTCCTTTTGCGGTGCTGGGGATGGAACCCAGGGCCTTGCACATGCTAAGCAAGCACACAACCACTGAGATTTATCTTCACTTTTCCTTTTTTTTTTTTTCTTTTAAGGGGAAAAAATGTAGAGAAAAACGATCCTGGTTTTTGGTGGTGAGGCTCATATGACAAGGTCACATTTTGCCTGGGCATGTAAGGGGAGGTGTTTTTCTCATCAGCAGTTTCTCAGGCTAGGGAGCACAGGCCAGGAGGAGGACAACTAAATGAAAATATATTCCCAGCCTGCACGTTAACAAGTTAGTGACGCACAAGAGTTTGAGATGCCCTTTAAAAAACAAAGATAGAGGGCTGGGGACTTAGCTCAGTGGTTCTGCCGCCTGCCTCACAAGCACAAGGACCTGAATTTGATCCCCAGTACCAAAACCAAACCAAACCAAACAAAAAAAACCAAGATAAAGAAAGAAGGAGGGTGATCAAATCAGGGTTTCCTGTCCTACTGAAACTCCAACCTTGAGGGCCTTGGGTCTTATTTCTTCCATCCTGACACTGGCAGAGTACTGGAGTCTGACATGGTCCCCACTTCACCCCTTTGATTGTGAGGCAAGTGAAATGGAAGCACTGAAATTAATCTCTCAACAACTTGAGAATTTTTCCTGCTTGGAGGTGCTGTCTGTTGGGATATTAGCTGGTAAAAGCAGAAGAGACAAACAGGCAGTGAGGGTGTGGCTGGAGGAAAGAAGGAAAGGGAAGACAGGAAAGACGAGAGATGGAGGAGAAGGTGCAGAGCTCCAGGAAACGGTGTTACAGCGTGCTCTGCCCCTCTGTCCCTGGGAATCCAGGAAGAGACAACTGAGGCCTGAGTGGCCTTTGGGGAGGCCTGGGCTTGGCAGGCTCCAGGCAGGGTCCTTTGGGGAAATGGCCCAGGAGAACAGAGAGAGGAGGAGCATGAGATCCTGAACAATGCATACCTGCTCTTGGAAAAATATGGACAGTTCTACCACCTGCTGTGCTTCCTATGGTACTGTGTGTTATTAACTCCTGGAAATGCCCTCTATGTGTGAATTTTATTTTTGTGTTTGTATGTCAAGATGGGCCTTGTGATTTCTCTGTCTCCACAGTACGCTTCTTGTAATTACTATTGTTATTTTTATTTTTATGACTGTCCCTGAGCTCTGGTGAAGAAAGTAGAGACTACAAGGAAAGAGATGAAGTTACTATTTATATCACATAATTATATCATTATTATATCTTTGTATTCCTGTATGTACTAAATTGACTGTCTGCATGATCTGGAAAAGGAGAGCCCACCCGACTCTTCTGGGAGGGAGGTCACCCTGGGAGGTATTTTCTAGCAGGGAGGGAAATGGGTACAGCAGGGGAAGGAAGGAGCCAGAGAGCTTTGTCTATGAAGCTGAGGTCGCTCATTAAAATAGGAAACCCTGTTCTGGGGGCTTGTAAAACTGACATTTTTGGAACTTCAGGAAGATTTTGAGCAAGAAAAAAAAAATGCTGGCTGGCAGACGGCAACCAGGCACGCAGGCAGCTCTGCTCCTTTTCCACACTTGACATTTGTAGCAGAGACTTGGGTGCTGTCTGCATCCCACGCCCCATAGCAATGCATGTGAAGGCTGCCGACCTCATTCCTGGGCTGTGCTGTGGTGTGGGGCTGCGTCTTTTGGAGAGGGGAGGCGGCCTGAGAACCTGACCCACTGGGCATGCTGCTACTTTGACAAGGCCCTCTGCCCAAAGAGCAGGCTCCACTGTGGCAAAGTGGATGGAAAAAGCCACACACGAGAGGGACAGACATCACCTCACCTCTCAGGGAGGCTGCCCTTGGCCTCTGGCCTGGATGGGCAGCTCCATCCACCTTATAGCCTAGCGGCTTTAACAGTTCGGTCATGGGTCCCATGCATAGCCTGGCCCTGGAGCTAGGCCTCTCCTTTTGTATCCTGCCTCCTTCACAAACACCTAGGCCCGACAAAACCTAAAGCTCTGTTAGCTGACCCTAAGCAACCACCACCACTGCCTGAGGCTTCATCAGAACACCTACCTATTTGGCACTGGCCTGGCGGGCTGTGCAGATATGAGCCCCGGAACCCCCTCCTCCCTCTGTGCACTGCTGTCCCTGAGGCAGCCCAGTGCCTCTGCTCCCAGCTGTCACTGCCACTATGCTCTGACAAGCCCTCCAGCCCAGATGCCTTCCCGGCCTCTCCTCCCCCTCCTGCTTCCCATCCTGACTCTATTTCCTGCTCTAGCAATTTCGCCCTCTATCTTCCTCTTGCAGTTTTCCCCACTAAGTCTCCTACTTCCTTTGGTCTCTGGGCCTTGGTTTTACGATTTCCCAAACAGATTTAGAGCTGGAAAGGGTTTAGAGTTGGAAAGACTATTTGAATGTTTTCAAAATGGGATCCTGTGAAATGGTAATCCCTGGAGATCTTTCATAATCTCTCGGTTTCTACATCAAATAAGATTTCTGCCCACTTTGCCCTCACAGAGCTGTGTACGGCCTGCTTGCCTGGCCTGTGAAGGCCCTGAGAAATCCTGTGATGGTCTCTCACTCATCTACATGACTACTCTGCGCTCTATGATTTTCCAAAGACATTTAGTCCCCCCGCCCCGCAGCCCCCGCCACCATGGAGCAGCTAGCATCTTACGTTTCTAATGTTTTGAGGAGTACTTTGGAAAAATGGCGTCTTTCCCTTCACATGTGAAGTTAATTTGTTAATCTCTGCTCCCGAAGACTGTAAACTCTGGATGTCTCAACCCCAGGTGTCAGTCACATTTTGGTTTCCTGTGGCCTTCCCCAGAGTAGGACCTGCCACCCCAATGACGGGACTGCCAAGCCACCAGCAGTCTGCTGACACCTGGGCATAGACACTGCCTGGCTTCTGGTTCCCATCCTCTTACACCCAGCCCGCCTCCCCAGCTTCCTGTGGTCCCTCTTGTTTGGCATGGTCCTCTGTGTGGCCTAGGAACATCCCAAGCTGGTGGCTATCCTGCAACCCAAAAGAGTAATTTCTCGAGAAGGATAGGGGCAGAATAAGGAAGGAAAACCGCCTTTTATACTTCCTCAAACAGCTTCTCTGCTCCCTTCATTTACCCATAGTTCCTGGGGCAGTGGGCATATAGCAGCCTCCAGAATCTGGCCTGTCTCCAGCCAAGCTGGCCTCCCCTGTACATAGCAGAGGTACTGGCTGTAGCTCCACCCAGATGGGCTCCAGAGGGCCAGCTCCCATGCCTCTGCTGCCCCAGCAAATTCAGGCTTCTCTGACAGCCACATCTTCTTAGAACTAGTCGCTCAGAAATAGTCCAATTTCCATCTGGGTTAAAGACCCACCCTGACATCATCCCAGTCCTGGGCTACAGAGCATTCCATAAGGAGAAAGTTCAACACATACAAAGAACAAATCTCTAGGGTTTTCTAAGGTTATAAACTCAGAGAGAAACTGAGAGGGCAGGGCTGGATTTGGACACAATACCTGATAAGGAGCTTGGGGATTGTTGGGCCCCCACCCTGGCTTCTCTTCCGGACTCACCCACACCTATGGGAGATGAGGAAAGGCAGCTGTGGCCCTGTGCCCACTTTCCACTGCCCAGCCCCAGCCACCTTTGCCACTCGGGACCCTTAGAGGCCGCATCTTGATGAAGCCTTTCACTTTCTTTTCACTTTTCAAGGAAAATTCTGACTCCTCCATTGAGCCTTTAAAAAGTCACTGTACCCTGGGGGCATGGGAAATGCTACACAGGGTGCTGGGGTGCCTTGTAAGAGATGCTGGGCTGTCCTCTTGCCAGGCCTTCTGCAATCAGGTAAGAGCCTGCATTCAGGGACTCTGCTGATGTGAGGACCCAGGTAACCAATCTTTTGTCCAGGGAGGAAGATGTCCAGAGTACACCCTAATCCACCTAATGGTGCCAGTGTCATTGCCTTGAGTTTGCCACTGGCCAGAGAGAGACAACCAGGGCAGGCAGATAGCTGTCGGCTGCTGGGATTCCTGAACCAACAGAGGCCTGGAACAGATTCCAGGTGTCTGCCATCAAATGGAGGGAATGTACTATGGGCGCTTGCAGCCCACATTCGCCTGCTGGGAGGGCAAGGTGGGCTCTGGTGTCACAGATAAAGGTATATAAGAATGATGTCTCAGATCGGCAGCTTGCTTTATGGACATGATCTCATCCAGTCACTCCACGCCACCTCCGCCTGGCTGCCCCAGTTGATAAGAATCTGGTGCTATTTCCTGTAGTCCAAGGGTCTCAGACAATGGTGTGAACGGCCAGCCCTACTGGAAAGGACATTGTTCAGGGAAGAAAAAACATCCAGCACAAAGCTGGGGCAGAACTTGTCTAAATGTAAGGGTCTGTTTACAAATCCATGATTTCCAACCGTGGAACACAATGGGGATTGTTTTGGTGAGGCTGATGTCTCCTCCAGTATGGTTCTGTCTGGCTTTGATGCCCAGACAGATCTCAGATGGCCTGAGATGGATGATCACAGATTCTGCAGATGCCTTCCTGTTTATCAGGGATGCATTCAGGGCAGGGTCAAGGAGCCAGTTACAACAGACAAGGGGGATGGGGCTCCTGGGCCCCACCCCGGCTGTCTCACTGTTTAGAGCCTTAGGGTTTAGAGGTGCTTTGCAAGGGAGAAGTAAGGGCAAATATTTTTTTTGTGAATGTGTGTGTGTGTGTGTGTGTGTGTGTGTGTGCGTGTGTGCGTGTGAAGCACCAACTCCAATTGTCATGTTGCTTTTTGGAAAAAATGTACAAGGCTTGAGACTTTTGCAAATAGTTGCATCCCTTTGGGATGGGACTCCCTCTTTCAGTCACTAGGGATATTTCTCTCATCTGGGGACCCCCCATGATGCTGTGTTTCACCTCCAGCCAGCCTGGGAGCCCCTAGGAGGTGACACTGTATACCTGGGATTATGGCCAATAGAGGTGTTACTTTTCATAGCGATCTCCCTCCAGAGGCCTTGGTGTGTGTGAGGGTGTGCACATGGTAGGAGGGCTATAAGAGAAACAGAACTATATCATGTATTCCCTTTGGGACTGGCAGTCAATAGTTTTGGTAGCGGGGGAGATGAGGCTAAGAGAGCAATTTGGGTCTGGAGAGACTATAAGAGCAGTCTTGTTTGAAGATTTGACCAATGAGGGAAGTGGCATTAGTAGCTTTTATACTCATCTCTAAACCCAACAGAAATGTACCTTACAAGTAAACTCAAGTGAATGTGTTTAGAACAAGTGAGGAGCACTAAGAGCCACACCATCCTAGGAGAGAAGCAAGCTTTTCATAAGCCATTCAACCTTCCAGAGCTAAGGGTTTATAATCCTCTTCGCCAATTTTCTAACAGCGCCCTCTAGTGTTTGGCATAAGAACAACAGGCTTGTGAGCATAGGGTATGAGCACATCCATGGGCTATGCAGCTGTCAAACTGCCTTTGAATATGTTGGGTTCTGGGCTAGGCAACAATGAGGGGAAGACAGATTAACAAGGCGGACAGGTCCTTGCCTATAAGGGACTTCCAGTCTAGCAGGACTGACAAATCCACAATTGTATGATTGCCAAAGAATGACACAGACTAAACAGAGTGAGTAGAGACCAGTGAGTGCCAGAGATGAAGTGGTCATTATGCAGGGGTCAACAGGCTAAGGATGAAAGTTAGCACTCTTCAGGCCAAGAGTCCCAGGCCCAGGGCCCAGTATTTCAGGGTATTCAGGGCACAATGCCATGGGTGGGATGTTCTAAGAGGTACAGCTGTGCAAGGCCCTATTTACAGAAGGCCATAGATGGCAATCTCAGTGGGGCCATCTTGAGTAAAAGGCTAGCATGTTTTATGGCAGATGGGAAAATGTGGATATATATGTCAGTGATGTGGACATAGGAAATCATAGACTGAACTCTTTTTTTTTTGGTACTGGGGATTGAACTCAGGTCCTTGCGCTTGCGCAGCAGGCGGCGAAACCACTGAGCTAAATCCCCGGCCCAGACTGAACTCTTTTACAGCAGTCTTAGAAGACAAAGAGTCTGAGATAGGCACTGTCAGTAGGAAGGAGAAGAAGGCAAATGTTTGAAAAACAGTCATACTGACAAGAAAGAGGGTGGTTAAGCAGAGAAGGAGGCAGAAGGAAATTCTGAGGTTTCTGACCATAGTTTGTTCCAGTAAAGGTAAAAATTAGAGGAAGGTGGGCTGGGGATTTAGCTCAGTGGCACTGCACCTCCCTCACAAGTGCAAGGTCCTGAGTTCAATCCCTGGTACCAAAAAACAAAACAAAACAGACTTAGCTCAGTGGTGCTGCCGCCTGCCTGGAAAGCTCAAGGACCTGAGTTCGATCCCCGGTACCCAAACAAAACAAAACAAAACAAAAAATTAGAGGAAGAAGGTATGTCAGGAAATTTTTACTAAGCATTTTTTCTATCTTGCCCAAGTGAGCTATTTGTTCTGGGTCCCAAACTATGAAACTAATTAATTCTAACAGACACATCCATTATGAAAACAGGTATTCAAAATATATAAGATGAGCTTGGGACTTCTTACAGTGCCTGAAAAGAAGGAAGCACTAGAAAACAAAACACAATTACAGAAATGTGTTACACAGCTAGAACAATCTGAACAACAAAATAAATATTTTTGTATATTTAGTATTGGATTGAAACCAAAGTGTTATGTATATGTGCCATATATGTGTGTATGTTTTACATATGTGATATACATATATATGTGTGTGTTCTACATATATGATATATATATATATGGAGAGGGATTTATATATATCGATATATTTCCATGAGTGACCCTATACTGATATGAACAAATTATTGAATAAATAAGTGGCAGGGAATAGGTAAATATCCCATGCAGAAGAATTCCAAATAATTTATGTTAATAACCCATTCTCAAGGCAGAAGGTGTACAAACCTCCACTTCTTAATTGTGGGCTGCAGTTAGTGACTTCTTTCCAAAAGGTACAGTATGGAAAGGAGGAAAAGAGGAACTTTATAGTGGAGAAATCTGACAAAACTCCTTCAGCCAGGTTATCAAAGTTAACATAAGTAGTCTTAGGTCATGTTCGCAGGATGTAACTTTGACATAACAAAAATGGTGTGGTACTTCTTTGGTCTTCCTCCCCAAAAACCCATAATCCCAGTCCAATCATGAGAAAAACATCTGACACATCGCAGTCAAGGGCCATTCTACAAAATACCTGATAAGCATTCCTCAAAACTGTCAAAATCATCACAAAGAGGGAAAGTCTGACAAACTGTCACAGCCAAGAGGAACCTAAAGAGATAGGGTGACTCAACACAAGTAGTATCCTTTATGGGATCCTGGAACAGAAAAAATAAATAGGTAAAAACTAAGAAAATCTGAATAAAGTATAGGCTTTAGTTAATAATTATGGATCAATATTCATTCATTAGTTATGACAAATTTACCAAAGTAATGTAGGACATTAATAATAGAAAAACTTGGTTTGGTGTAAATGCAAACTCTAACCTATCTTCACAATTTTTTTCTGTATAACTATTCTGAAATTAAAAGTTTATTTAGAAAAAATTCAGTTATTTAATGCAAAATAATTGCATAATATATTTAATATTATATATAATATTTAATGCAAAATAATTGCATTATATTTAGACCCAGAGGAAGGACAGAACATTTCAAAGTTGGATTTTCCAGCTTATAAGAATGGGGTGGCTACTGTTATCAACAGAAAGTAAAATTATAAAGAAGAAATGGTTAATGGCTGGGAGTGTGTGTGTGTGTGTGTGCGCGCATGCGTGCATGCGTGCAGGCATGTGCACTGCCTGCTAGCAAGCAGGTACCCATAAGGCCAACTGCACATAGAGGTAGGGCAGCTGAATGTCTGGGTGACAAAACCCCTCCACCACTCCTGCCACAAGCTCTGCCTTCCACCCAGGGAAGCTGGAGTTGAGAGGGCACTGTTAGGGGCCCGTTACTTTTGACTAAAACAGCATTTCTTTTATTTTGGAAATATACAAATGGACTTCTATAAAGGGAAAGGTACTACCAAGGATCTCTAAGAAGGTGGCTGGTGATCCAGTTGTAGTAACTCTAGATTAAGGAACTAAAGTCTGTCTTAATCTAGGAAGAGTTTTCAGTTGTAAATGATCACTACAGGAGTCACATCTAGAGAATGGGTAAAATGTAAACCCTCTTGTCATTTGCAGGCTTCTGATAAAATCTTGGATGCTCGAGTTAGGAAGCATAGAACTAAATCATCAAACCCATGAGACACGGGCCAGGGATTTAGTTCAGTGGTTTTGCCACCTGCTGCACAAGCGCAAAGACCCGAGTTCGATCCCTGGTACCCAAAAAAAAAAACAAAACCCATGAGACAGAACATGAAGAGAGTATAGGATAGACACTTGTAATCCCAGCACTCTGAGAGGCTGAAGTAGGACGATAACAAGTTTGAGTCCATCCTGGGCAATATAGTAACTTGATGAGAACCTCTCAAATAAAAAAAGGACTGGGGAAAAAAAAAAGAAAAGGACTGGGGATGTTGCTCAGTGCAAAGGCCCTAGGTCCAATACACACATACAAAAAAAGAAAAAGAAAGAAGCAAGCAAGCAAGAAAGAAAAAGAAGCCAGCCAGCCAGCCAGAGCCAGGTATGATCGAGCATGACTGTAATCTCAGCACTCAGGAGGCTGAGGCAGGAGGATCACTGGATTTTGAGACTAGCCTGGGCTACATAAAGAGTTGAAGGCCAGCCTTAATTACACAGTGAGACCTTGCCTAAAAGAACAGAAAGAAAGACAAAAAGAAAGAAACCCATCTGAGCATGATAGCTGTGCAGGAGGTGCAGGGGCAGGGGCAGCCAGCTCAGGAGGAGGCTCCAGGAGGCAGGCAAGGCTTCCAGAAAAGAGGGCCAACTGATAGCGATCTATTGTCTGGCCCCAAGAAATTAGCAATGCATAGCAAATAAAAGGCAGTTATTAATTTCAGGAAAAAAAACATACAGGAAAGGAAAGGTAAAGATACTGTACTGTCTAGCTTAGGGGCAAACACATACTCATAATAATGTAAACACCAAAAGTTAATTTAATAAAAAATATTCTGCAACTATTTAAGATGAGAAGAATGAAAATAGGAAGTTTCTAAATCTTTATGTAACATAAGATTAATAAATCAAGAAACTACTTAAATTATGGAAAATAGTTGCCTTTAGGGAATAGGACTAGAAATAGAGGAAAGTTGAGACTGCTTTTCATTATACTCCTTTTAGTACTATTAGACTTTTTTTTTTTGGTACCGGAGATCAAACTCGAGTCCTTGCGCTTGCGCAGCAGGTGGCGAAACCACTGAGTTAAACCCTGGCTCCACTTTTTTTTTTTAACCAGGGGTCAAACTCAAGACCTTGTGCCTGTGAGGCAGGCGGCCACACCACTGAGCTAAATCCCCAGCCCCTAGTACTTTTAGACTTTAAGAATTATTTTTTTGGTGTTGGAGGTTGAACACAGAGCCTGTACATGTTAAGCATGTGCTCTGCTACAGAGGCACACCATTATTAGACTGAACTAGCCATATCAGACTTTTTAGTCTATATTACTTAGCCTATATACTTTGATAAAAAGACACTACTACTATCCATTTGAGCGCAAGTGAATCTGGTCAAATTTGAAGGCAATCACTGCACTGGATGTAAGTTTGGGGGATTCAGCAATATTTGAAATGAGAATGATCTTACCATTAGTGGCAATGACCCAGAGAAACCCTGAGAATTCAGTATCTGGCAATGGTTCTGAGTTTCCTCCACTAATCCAAAACCCATGAAATCTTTAAAAACATACAAATGTAAGATAGGCTCTATTCAATTTCTCCCTAGGCTTCCTGCCAGATTCCCATCCTAGTTGCCTTGCCTAATGTGAAATGACCTGGCATGCAAATTTGTAATTCTACTCTGGATAGAAATGCTCAGGCTATCAGGCAGCAAGTCTGAGCGGTTCACTCATGCTGTAGAGATGTGCTAAGATCACAACGGCCTAGAGTAAGTGGAGTCCCTTCTGCCCCTCATGGGCATGACTCTGCAACATGGGCCTTTTCTCAGTTGATTGCAGACTGCTATGCTGGCTCACCTCCCAGACGAGAACCCATGTACTGACTGCACAATGAATAAATCTCTGCCCCTGGAATGCCAGCTTCCCTGCAAACTGAGTCCCTTCCAAAGAAATACATCTATATTCTAAATTATAGTTATACATTAATTTACTAATTTGTGGATTAGAAGCATGAGTTCTCTTATTGCCTCATTCTGCCCTCCAGATTCCTTATTTATTTATTTTTTGGTACCGGGGATCGAACTCTGGTCCTTCTGCTTGCTAGGCAGGCGGCGGAACCACTGAGCTAAATCCTCGGCCCAAGATTCCTTAGTATGTTAGACAAATTTCAGAGTGAATTTATAAGGAGACATCAGTGGAGAGAAAACCTTTATTTGCATAATAACAACCATGAGTGAAGAGGAGGCATGTGAGAACCAGATTAAGGTGGAAAAATCCGGTGGAAGAAGAGGGGAATGAGTTGGGGAGAAAGAGCAGAGGCATTCTCATAGCCACAAACATATTCAACTGCTGGCATCTGGACTCTGCGCGCTCTTCATGCTCCCCTGGGACTTCTTTTTCTTGGCTCATAATCTCAGTACTGGCCCCTTTCCTTGTCTCAGTGGCCCAAAGTGCTCCTTCCCTCAAACTTCACACGGAGCAGCGCCGCTTCACACACAATGTATGCTCGGTAGAAACTACTCAGAAGCTGTTATTTGGATTTTTTGCAGCTCTTAGTGATTTTGACACCCTTGGCCTGTCAGGAGTGGCCACTTCTGCTACCAGAGGACTCTGGGTTTTCTACTAAGGAAGTTCCTGGCCAGTTGGTCCAAGAAGGACCTGGATTTTCTTCCAGGCTGGTGTCTCTGCAGAAATGCTCCTGGACATGTAAAGCGTTGCTGCAGGAGGGGATGTCTCTTGAATTTTCAAATATGTCGTCTGTGGTGAAAGAAAGGTGGGGAAGGAAACTCAACCCTTTGTTTCCTCTGAGGTGCAGGTCCTTAAGCCCCTCCCCGGCCACTTTTCTCCCAAAGCTAAAGTTGTCACTACAAGTGATGCCCTTCTGGTGGCATGCCTTCCTTCATTCTCAGGCACTAGCCCCAGCCCCACCCTAGCTCTTAGACCAGACCATCCCTCCAGTCCCACCTGCGAGTGGAAGCAGAAGATGAACACGCTTCACATTCCCATTTCTTTCTGTTGGATCTAAGAAAGGAGCAGTCCCTGTGGGTTCCATGGGATCCACATGTAGCACACAGAATGAGGCTCCAACTCCTACAGGAAGATCCAAGGAAGGATGTAGGTACAAACAGAACAAACTGTCACTCTGGGATATTTGGTATGGGCCAGCCTAATCTATGGTGAGGGCTTCCCAGACATTTTTGACTATACATTTTACCCATCACAGATGTGTTGCCTGGGAGCTTGCAGGCAGGCATAGCCCCTCGCACAGTGAATTTGAAAAGGAATTGGCCCTAAGCCTCTCTCCACTGGGCATAAGAAGAAGCAGACCCTGGAGAGATCTGTTCACTTGCAAAAGGGGCTGGTCAAGAACAGGATTTAGCACTGGGCGTGGTAGTGCATGGCTATAATCCCAGCTACTCAGGTGACTGAGACAGGAGGATTGCAAATTTGAGACCAGCCTGGAAATTTAGCAACACCCTGTTTCAAAATAAAATTTTTTTAAAAAAGGACTGGGGCTATAGCTCAGTGGCAGAGCACTTTGCTTAGCATGCACAAGGCCTTGGGTTCAACCCCTGGTACCCCTCACCCTCTATGAAAGGGACTTAGCACTTGTGTTCACCCTGAGGTCTTCAAACAGAGTGAACTTCTATCTCCTAATAACTGTGCCAAGGTCTGACTTTAAATACTGTGGAGAGCTCTTTCTAGCCAGTTTTCCCTACCCTTCATCCTCAAAGCTGTCTCTGCCTTGTTCGTACAAACAGGTGGGGGCATCACAATGCTGATAGCGCTGGTACAACTCTGAGAAAGCCCCTGGCTCGAGTTCCCAGGCAGCATCTCTGCAGTGGGAGACGAAATAGTGAGTAAGGGACACATAATTGGCTGGTGAAGCTTTTGTCCACCAGGGAGGAACTAAGCACAGAGTTACACAGTCTGCCTGAACGCTTAAAACAAGACGACTGGGTGAGAGTGGCCTAATTGTGGGAGCGAGCTGAAGCAAGATAACTGAAACATGGGGGTTCTGTGGTTCTGCTCTGGAATTCAAGAACCCAGCCTCCCATGGAATTCTGATTCCCAAAGTGTCTTTTTCAGAAACATGCTTCCTGCTCATGTTTTTCTCCCTTTTCTTTTGGTCATTAAAAAGCACTCCCCCTACTTTCTTCACTGTACATCAGTGCCTCAGCTCCTCTCTTTTCCAAACTTTCCTCACACTCAACCTCCCCTCCTGAAATCCAAGTAACCCACTCTCTGATTCAATTCCTGCTTTACAATTTCCACTACCTGTCTGGAATGTGAATTCCCATTCTTAGCATCTCTTCAGGAAACTCTTCTCGATTATTGCACTGGGGACATTTGAAGAAATGCTTTGCTGATGTATGGGCATATTTCTGTAAGAGAAACATAGAAAAAGCTTTGTGTTTGTAAAAAGATGTTCTGACCACTTTCTTTCCACTCCCACCCTCACCCCATGGGGCACAGACAAAGAAGTCTGGGTAGGCTAGGATGCAGGCTGGCCCAAAATACATTTAAGAGAATTCTCAGGAGTGACTCAACTGTCATCTCTGACTATGGGGCTTGGCAGTAGGGGTCAGGTACCTGAATACATATCTCCCTTTTTCATCCTAGTAATGAGGCTGATTTTGAGGTTCCTTGACTCATTTAGGAATGAGCCTATTTACTCTTGCAATCCTGAAGATTTTGCTGAGTCTAAATCTTATCATCAATGAGGTCCTGTAGGCCAAGGATGACCAAAGATTGGTGTTTCTTCTCACTGATCAGAAGCAGCCCTGCATACAGACCTCCAGCATGGAGTATCGAAGCTAAGCTATGCTTGAGCATTCCCACAGTACCTTGATTCCAGGCAGAGAATGAGGGCAATTGTGGAAGGTCCCCCAGGGCAGAGAAAGCCCCACCTGAATGCATTTGCGGTGGTAGATAGCTTGACTACAACAAGGGCTCTGTATGTTCTCAACACTTGATTGGGATAAGTCTTCGCAACACAAGACACAGCTTTCTTCCTCCACTTTCCCCTGCTGGATGTCCTGGGATGGGCGATGTTTTCCACAAAATGATCTATGGCAGGGTAAACAGACTTGGTTTCTGGCTTGCCACTGATGCAGATTCCCAGTGCCTGGCCTACAAGGGGCAATCAGCCATCCAGCCTGTGGCCAGGGAGCCTCCACACTCATACAGAGGAGCAGGGTGAAGAACAGCCACATGCCTTCTCACGGCTGCTCTCTCACTGAACAAAGCTCCTGGGACTGTCTCTACACCCTCCCATTCCTGAAAGCCCCACTTAGTTCTGAGCAGCTGTCGAAGAACCCCAGCTGTTTGTAATTTAAGAAGGGGATGGGAAGCAAGAAGAAACCCCTGTGAAATCTTCACGTCAAGACACTGTTTCCCATTATTGAAAGGAGGGACAAATTCACTGGTGAATCAAAACAGGCCTGTGAGAACTGGATTCTGATTTCATTAGCAGCTAAATAACGAAGTTGCAAAATGCCAGCTGACTTTCCCCTTTCTCACTCACTTGTACTCTCCAAAAAATTGCGAAAGGCAACCCATTTCTTGGCCACAAGGCAGATGGAAGTTTCTAGTGCACTGATCCTTCTGGCAGTTGATAGCAGCTCCTTTTTTCTTGCACACAAAGCAGAGCTGTAAATGAGATCCCAGAGTCTCAGTGCCCCAAGACAGACACACTGTGGCACATCTTTTTACGGAGTGGAAATTCTGTGAAGCTATAGCCATTGCCTTTCTTCAGTCATTTTGAAAGCTCCAGGACACTCTAAAACTGAGCTTCAAGCGGCACTGAATTCTTTTTTTTGTTTTCTCAGGGTGTTACTCTCTTTACTACATTCCAGAAGAAAATCAGGAATTAAGAGAAAGACCAGGGCTGGTGGTATAGTTCAGTGGTAGAGCACTTGCATAGCATGTGTAAGGCCCTGGGTTCAATTCCCTGGTTCTGAACAAATAAACAAAGGACCAGAGTTCTGTGACTTCTAAACTAGCAACTAGGGAAAGAATAGAAACAGGGATTCTGAAAAAGGTCTAAGAAAGGCCTATCCCAAAGTCTCCATTTCAGGCGATTCTAACCTTCCTAGAAGCCCGGGCTGCCTCTTTTTTGATGTCTTCAGGCAGGAATCCATGGAAACCTCTGTTGGATTGACCCCTCTGAAGCAGCTTGCTAGACAGGATCTGGGAAAGCAGCAAAAGCAGGCTGTCAATGTTGATAATCAGTGAAATACTGCAGTGGTGTAAGGATGACAGGGCAAGAGAGCTAAGAAGTAGAGTTTAGTGGAATATATACGCATTTATAGGGCAATTTGTTTGATAAAGGCTTTTTCATAGCACTATGTATTGGGTACACTAAGCACTTTTCAAATATCACATCATTGGAAGCCCAATATCTCCCTCTCTTTAGGAGAGACAGGACTTGCTCAAGGCTGCTGAGCTCCAAAGCCTATATTTTTATGTATCTTTGCGCTATACTGCCTCCTATTTACTAAGGGCTGCTGTTGCTATTGTGGCTGAACGCTCTGGGGAAACTTCCTCTGTACTAACTCAGTTTATGCTCATCACAGCCCTACAATACAGATGCTATTGTGACTCTTACTGTACAGAGAAGGCACTGAGGTGCAGTATGGTAAGTGATATGGCTGGGTGACATGACAAGAACAGAGCTGGCATTCACAACTGGGCCCATAGAACTCACACTCTTAGCCCTCCTGGTACATTGTCCTTCAGAGATACAGAGTAAATACACCAAGGGAAAGAGAATTTTAAATTCTTCTGGCTACAATCATTCTGCATTATAGGGGAAAGGAAGGAATTGTACTTTTCTTTTGAAAATACACTTTAGAAAGATTTTTGTTTCTGAAAAGTGTATAAAGCAGAGTCTAGAATATGAAATCAGGGAAAAAGAAGTCAAACTGTTCTATTATATACATTGTGAGAATGTCAGTACCCTACACCCACCTCAAGCTGGGGGAAGGTTCCTTCTAAAAATATTGGAGGGTGGTGGACTTCTTGTAGTAGTTACATAAAATGTGTAGCGGGAGCTCAGGTTGTCTATTTAACATTATAGAAAAGGTGACCCTATCATGTTAGATAACTTGAGGGCACTTGGATTATAGCTGTTATGTTCCCAATTACAATTAAAACATATAATATGTATTTTAACATTAATACCTCATGGGTTATGTTTTATTTATACTTTTAAATGTTATTCCCATTTTCTACAAAGAGCATGTTACTGTTATAAATAGAAAAAAAATCAATAAACATTAAACAATCTAAATGTCATTTAATAGGAGTTTGTTTTAATACTTTTGGGCCCACTCACATCAAATGCCAATTCGTTGTTAAAAATAAAAAACTACGACTATATATATTCTATATGAAAAGATCGTCAAAATATACAAAATAAAAAGAAGATACAAAACACTGTATATAGTATATTTATTTTTAGGTTAAAAATCTATTTGCTTAGTGCTGGGGATGTAGCTCAGTGGCACCGTGTTTGCCTGGCAAGCACAAGGTCCTGAGTTTGATCCCCAGTACTGGAAAGAAAAATGTATTTGCTTATAAATATATCAGAATTAAGAGCCCTGGCAGGATTTACTAGGCAGAAAGATCACACATTTATCTTTTTCATGAACATGGATACAAAAATCAAACAAAATATTCACAAACTGAATTCAGCACCATTTACCAGGAACTCAAGATTAGTTTAACATTAAATATTTAAGGATGCAGCTGATGTAACAAAGCACAGTAACAAAATGATGGAGAAAAATCAAGAAGCATAAAAAGCATTTGACAAAACTCAGGTTCATGATACTGTCATGAACAGGTTCAGGTTCATGATACCGTCAGTAAAATGAAAATAAAAGGAAGCTTAAATCTGATTTTAAAAAAGCATCTCTGAAAAAAAAATCTTACAGCTACTGTCATATTTTAATGATGAAAAACTAGATGCTGCTCCCTAATGTTGGGAATGAGACATGGGTAACCACTCATATCTCTCCCATTGAACATTATGTTGAAGGTCCTAGCCAGTACAACAAAGCAAGAATAAGAAACAGACAAATATTGGAAAAGAAAAAGCAGAACTGTCTTTATTTACACGACATGATTGTGTACATAGGGAATCCTAATACGTTTACAACAAAACAAATACATAAAAACAATTACAGAATTTAATAAGATTGTAGGAGATAAAGCCAACATACAAAAATAAACTGCCATTTCTCTATTCCAGCAACAAATTTGAAAATAAAAAATTTAGGTGCCATTTACAATAGCATAATCACAAAATATTTAGGAATACATTTAACAAGAGATGTGCAAGAATTCTTCGCTAAAACTGTAAATTTTTAAAGACCCAAATAAATAGAGAAATATACCATGTCTAACATTCAGTATTATCTCTCAAACTGATCTATAAATTCAAATTTGTAAATTCCCAAAATTGATCTATAAATTCAAGGCAATCTTTTTTTTTTTCCCCATTAAGTTTATTGGTACATTTTCGGTATAAAATACAGTCACATTCATCATTGGGATCTTGTACCTTTACATGA